CCAAGATGTCCTCACTAAAAACAAATTTTGTAGAAATATATATATACGAATGTGAATTTGCCATTTCTTTTTACCTGAATTCCTTTCCCAAACCTTAAAAAATCCTCAAAACTGTAATTCCTACCCGGTAAAGAACTACTGTACTACTGTGCTTTTGAAATTTGAAAAAACAGTTTTGCATAACACTATACAGGTAGATCTAGAGATGTTGAGTAAAAACTAATGATAAAGTAATTAAATAATATATTAAATAGTCGATATGTCTACGCAGACCAAAGTGTTAAATTGAAAATAAAAAAAAAAGATTTTACTTCTTTTATGTGTCGTGCCCCTTCGGAATGTGGGTGATCTTGACTCACTACAACTTCATATTCTCCGTAGTTCTTATTAATATATTTTTTAATTTTACTATCCACCCTCCTGACTGTTCGACCATTCATTTGTACAATCCCGTGAGGAAGGCTGATTTTTGCTGTCCCTCTTGTTTTCACTATGTCCTGTAAGTGTTAAATTTTCTCATTATATATCCCAGAAATTTCAACTATCTCCATCAGATTTTAAAAAAATATATATAATTACCCTTCTTGTTTCCAAGTTCCTAAAAACTTCAACGTTGCTCACGTCTGGCCTGCCTATCGTATTCTTAGCATTATGCTCTAAATCAAGGGTCGGCAACCTACGGCCCGCGGGCCGGATCCGGCCCGCGAAGGCATTTTGTCCGACCCGCGAGCCTGATTACCAATGACTCTATTTTTAACATGAGAGACGAGGCTTTCGAATTAGACTATCTGCCAGTTATCTTTCATGAGACTTATTTTACCAAGTTGCGTTGCCTACGTTTAATGTCAAATAATGGATACATATTTGTTATGACCCTTGGCTACATTAAAAGATAACAGAAGCGAAAGGAACGATAAAGTGAAAGAGGCCAGGAGGGACTGACATGCGAGGTAGCAGAAATCTAAAGACAGTTAAACATACGCGCATTATACATACATGCCTCATGAATGTGTGGATGATACCGCATGTGTACGTACGTAAGTGTATGTGTTTGCAACTATTTGTACTCGTATGTATGGGTATATGTGCTTCGTTTTTGTTTGATGTGTGTGTGTGTGTGTGTGTGTGTGTGTGTGTGTGTGTGTGTGTGTGTGTGTGTGTGTGTGTGTGTGTGGTTCGTTTGTGGAACAATTTTCAATAACAGTTTCAAACCTACACGTCATAATTTCATCCATTTCACTTCGGTTGATTTTTTTCACTTTGAAATTTTTCATTAATGGCCTTCGTCCGGCCCGCGACTCGTCATTATAACACGATCCGACCAGCGAGGTCGAATGAGTTGCCGACCCCTGCTCTAGAACAACATATTCCCTTTTATCTGTGAGATAATGTCCAGAATCCATTCAATTTCTTACCTTGTAGGAGAAATGCTATTAAAGCACACTTCTTTGTTTTTAACGAATTCTTTTCTGATTCTTAATGCTATTCTAATTCGCTTTCGGATTTTGGTATCACATTTCTCATCATCTCTTGAGAGACTTCCCAGATAGTTAAATTCTTGATTCTGACGTCTCCAAATCGGAGCTCGCATCTCGGGCTGTCCCTCTTACTAACGTCCATAAACTCTGTGTTCTTACAATTGATAGTCACTTTCTTCATCCTTTCTCTTACTACCAAGTCTGGTATTAACCGCACTTGTTTTATTTTCTTTATCTACCATCAACACAGTGTAATACTTCTAGCTCTCTTCGAATCGCCTAGTTATAATGGTTAAATAAATATCTGAAGCCGCTTTCTATGTGTGCTTACAATGTTCAGTATATTTTTTCTATTCGTTTCAGGACGGTTTTTCCCACTATTTGCACATAGAATTATTGTGCAACAGGATAATGCTGATGATGGTACTCACGAAGCATTTGGATTGTTATGAGATATAGTTGCTAATATATTGTAATAAGTAAAGATCTGGAAAAGAAGACTGTAACATCGAAGACTGCGGTATTGTTGAGGTCGAAAAGTATATAAATGAAAATACAAGGTATTTGATAAAATCTGCTGCCTTTTGAAATACGTTTCCCATTCCGGTGATGGTCGTTAGATTTGTTCCTGCGAGGAATTGTTATACTAGATGACTGACTCTCTTTTATTTATCATTTGCGCTTAAGTTTCGTTACTATGAACTTACACGCAAATACCCTTAGGAAAGGTATGAACCCAATTCTTCTATTTCAATCTATGGGTTAAATAGCACAGAATGAATCCTATAGTCTCGGTCAAGAACCAGTCTACTACAGCAAGAAATCGCAGTCTACTGCGGGTGTTGAGGGGTCCACCCTTTTTTATACAAATGAACTCACCCAGTATATACATATACTACTGCAAGAGTGAGACCGAGGAGTCGAGTCGAGTCGAGTCCAGAGTAAAAGGTTGTAGGTAAGCGGAAGAGCGACAGTGAGGGTGTGGTAACAGCGTTGTAGGAGTCACAGTGAGCGAGCACGTAGACTCAGTAAGAAGTCATACAGCGATACTTCAATAGCAAAGACTGTATAGAAATTTTACTACTAACCCGTATTCCTGGAACTACTAAACTGCTTTACCAGTTAGTATTATTACGTTAATACATTATTTTCATATATTCATTCCTGGCGTTTGTTATTTATTGGTACCGGATTTCAACCCGGAATCCACAACAGTGGGAAAATGTTTTGCCTAGTCAATCATGAATCGAAAGAGGCATGATCGCCCAAAAGTCTGTTTTGAGTGACTAGTTACTTCATCGCACTACTTTCTTACATATTTCAGCTAATTTTATTATCTTATGTTTTCATAAACTTTTGCCTTATTCACAGAAATGTCCCTTTATGAGGTTTTCTTGAAATTACAGAATTCTATAAAAATAGAATAAATGATAACCCGGTGTAATATGTAATCAAAACAGTAGATTTTTGAAATTACCCCAGCCAGTTTTTCTATGTCGCTTTACTGCCGCCTTACATTCGTTATATTAATGGAATATGATGTCCTTTCTTTTAATTTTGCATGGCTTTCATTGATTGCAACAGTCCGGTAGCCTAAGAGCACTGCTTATTTGACTCAATCGTTTATTTCTCCAGACAAAGAGATTAGAATAGAGATCTCCAATCCCTTTATACAGTGTGTGATGGGTAAACTGTTTTATATTTCTAATTTTACGCATGTGCGTTGTTTTCTGGTTTTTTGTTTTTGTTTTTGTCAATTACTCATTACACCGTCTGTGAGAAAAAGAGCACCATGACTCAAATTCCCTCCGCCAGAAATTTGGAAGCAGCATACTTTACTACTTGGCATTCGCCCTGGAAGCTGCAATATGAACATTTCAAAGTGTTTGGGTGTTGATCTGAGGACAGTGCAGAGGATTCGGAAAGAGTTCGATGAGTCTAATATTGACTGCGAATGTACAGCAGCTCAAAAACTCATTCTGTTAAGAAAAGACATCCCGAATTTGTCGGTGAGGTTCCCAGAGTCAACACGGAGGCCTACATCAAATGCCTTGAGGAGTTGGTGCTGCCCTGGGTTAAGGAGATAGCTGCTGGAAGATCCTATTACTGGAAAAAGGACCGTGCACCATGCCACACAAGCAGGAGACCCCAAATATGGCTCTTAGAAAAATTCTGCGGCCACATCACCGTATTACATTTGGTCACAAAACTATCCAGACTGCAACCCCTATAATTATTATGTGTGGGACACAGTTGAGCCAGAGACCACAAAACTCTTTATAGCATCAAAGATGAATTGAAGGCAAGGATTTTAGCAGCATTCACTAACTTAAACAAGAAGATCGCCCCAAAAAGTTGCAGAAGATTCTGAAGTCATCTGGAGGCTGTGGTTGAAGCCAATGGCCAATTTTCACTTTAGTATTTCAAGATATTTTTGTGTAATTTTGTTAAATATATCTGTTAAAATGAGATGTCAGGGTTATTTTCATTTTTTACGTAATTCAGATGACAATTTATCTATCGCACCCTCTCTCTCTCTCTCTCTATATATATATATATATATATATATATATATATATATATATATATATATGCATGTATATATATATGTATATTAGGTTGTCACAGAAGAAATGACTCATTTTTTGGTTGGTTGTTGATCCGGTGGTCTAACGGAGTAAACTCCTTGATATATAAAAATCTTGACCTTTTTCTTTCAATAAGCCTAATGAAAATAAGTACAATGATACAATGTCGAGTAATCTTACTGTATGAGTACAAACTTGGAAAAACGAAACATTTTTGCATCGAATCATTTCATGCCATGAGAAATGGATATACTTTGACAACAGTGAGTAGGTCAGTGGTTAGATGCAAGTGAATTACCAAAACAATACGCTAAACCTTCACTGCACCCTGAAAGATTAATCGTTACTGTATGGTGGTATTTCAGAGGGGTTATTAATTATTCATACATGTCTCAAAGAAAAACAATAAGAGTAACCTCGTATTTTGCAGAAATTGTGTGTATGCACAAAAATTTGTAAAAGAAACATCCTAGGTTTGCGAATAGGGATGTCCCCATTTTGCTGTACGATAACGCACGGCCATGTGCTTCTGAATCAAGTGTCCAAAAACTGCATAGCTTTAATTATGAAATTTTGCTTCATCCTCCATATTCACGTGAAATCCCTCCTACTGCTTATCACTTATTTAAGCATTTTCAGTTCGCACGCAATAAAATATTCCCCAATAAGAAAGAGGTAATCTAAGTATTTGAACTGTTTATCACTATTTGAGAATTTTTTCGAAGATGGGATCCAGAATTTAACGGTACATTGGATAATAGTCATTCATCAACCTGTTGCCTATTTTATTCAAATAAATTAGCCATTTAACATTACAGAATTGTTTTATTCATTTCCTGTATTTCACGTGACAACCTAATATATATATATATATATATATATATATATATATATATATATATATATATATATATTTTCGCAAACATACACATACGCACATAGATAATAATAAGCCTTTGATAGATAGATAAGGAATAGACTGAGATAAATAAGGAACAGGCTTTGATAGATAGATAGATAGATAGATAGATAGATAGATAGATAGATAGATAGATAGATAGATAGATAGATTTTCTCAGTGGGTTTATTCAGTATATACAGGAAGAATTAAAGGAACTATTATCAGAGAGCATAATATTAACAATATAAGATACATAATGCCTCTTTCTCCGAGACTCAGAAAGTAAGCCGAATAAAACAATTCTTAGACAATTTACTAATAGAAACAAGAAGAATGAACTGTTAACTGTAAGAAGAAAACCGAATGACCATCAGCGAAAGCGACAATTAAAGGTGTGAGCTAAGTATTAGGGGCGTTAAAATAAGGCAAGCACAGAAATGTAATCATGTGGATAATATAGTAACAATTAAAAAGTATGAGAGAAATCCAAAAGCGCATAGGATTAGCGAAATATTTATTCCAGAAACTAAGCAAAGTACGAAGATATACGAGGAAAGTCTTGTAAAAAAAAAAAGTGCCTAACTTCTATTTTTAATATATAATTTCCTGTGTAGTAGTAAATGCTGGACAAACACCTCAAAGTTGAAGAAACTTGAAACAAGAGGATATGTGGTTCGACCGACGAATACTGAGAAAACATAGTGCATGTGAAAAACGAGGATTTTTTTTTTTTTAATGGAAAATAGGAACAATGAATCTTTTACTTGAAATCGGAAAGATGAAATTCAAGTTTCTGGGACATATAACGTATAACAGTCCCGAGATATATTAAAGATAAAGGAACTAGAGTAAACTGCTTAATGATTTTTGTGAATAGATGGCAGAACATGGACAAAAATAAATGGAAAAAAAAAGTACGTCGAAAAAAAAAGAAAAAAAGAATGCTGTAGATGACTATCATCTCCAACGTCTGGGCACATTAAAGTAAAAGATAAAAAGTAGTAGCATTTTCTGTATTTCTAATTATCATTGCTCTAATTATAATAACCGTTCATATATTTCTTCTCATATATATATATATATATATATATATATATATATATATATATATATATATATATATATCGGTCTCACGTTGACTGCTGACCTGAGATGGAATAAATACATCGAGTCAATTGCCCTCGTCCACTGCGAGGAAAGTTGGCTCCCTGAGCCGTGCTAGGAAGTTTTTTTCTCCCGGAGTCGATCCTCCAGATCTACAAATCCACAATTCGCCCTTGCATGGAGTATTGCTGCCATATATGGTCTGGTGCCCCTTCTGTTTGCCTCGGGGTTCTTGATAGGCTCCAGAGGCGGATATGCAATGTGGTTGGCCCTGCCCTGGCGTCTCGTCTACAGTCACTTTCTCACAGACGCGCCGTCGCCTCCCTCTGTCTGTTCTACAAATACTTTCATGGAAATTGCTCCGAGGAGCTGCATTCGCTGGTTCCCAGACGTCATGAGTTCCAGCGCTCTACGATGCTGTCATCCCGCTCTCACCCCTTCACTGTCGAAACTCCTAAATGTAGCCGTCTCTTCTACTCCAATAGCTTCATGTCTCGCACCTCTCGCCTGTGGAACTCCCTTCCCCATTCCAGTTTCCCTGAGAGCTATAATCTCCAGCTATTCAAATGTAATGTCAATCGACATCTCCAGTTGCCTTGATCTATCCACTACCCTTCTCCTCATCCTTTCTTCTATCACTCCTATCTGATCTTGCTCTAAATTTTCTGTAACCCCTTGCGTCCTAGTGGCTTCCCGCCTTGCTTGGGGTGAAATGCTTAATATATATATATATAATTTTTCTTGACAGAATCTTACACATTTGCAAGTCTACCATTCATTCGTGCATTGAGTATTGTGGTCACATCTGGTCTGGTGCTTCTGCTATATATTTAAAGGTTCTAGATAAAATGCAAAAAACAAAGAAGACTCTTCAACGTTATTGACCTGGCATCTGGGCTTCAGACACTTTCTCACCATCGTAACGTAGCTTCCCTGTGCCTGTTCTATAATTATTTTCATGGTAAATATCCTGACGAATTTTCCTCTATGATACCTAGACTTTATGAATTTAGTACTAGATTGGCGGACAGGTCTCATCATCTTACAGGTGAAATGGCGAGATGTAATCGCAAGTTCTATGTTAACAGTTTATTCTCTTGCACTTCCCGCTTTTGGAGATTTCTTTTGCCTTCTTTCTTCCCAGTCAACTTTGATCATCGAAAATTTAAATGTAAAGACAATCCTTATCTTATATCTTCTTAATTCCTGTTATTTTATTGTTCAGTCTCCTTAATAATGTTTTTTTTTTTCACCTATTCTCTCATATTCAGTAACCTCTTGCGTCTTAGTGGCTTTTTTGCTTTGTCTATATTTTCCACATTACATCGATGGAGATTCCTATTCTTTTCTCTCCTCCTGTCCCTAAAGATTTCCGACGACTTTATAACATTAGAAGCATTATAATAAATAAAACAAACTCTTCTATTATTCATTCCGGTGGCACTGTTTTGCATAAATGTTATTCTATATTCTTGTACATTCTCTTGAATTCTTTCCATAATATAACGATTTTTGTCAGTAGTTTTCTAGTATTTTGTGCCATTCCACTCTATGTTCGCCATTTTGATTTTCTAGTGAGCTCTGTTGTCTTTTGATTTAAATCATAATTGCTTTCCATTTCATTCCAGAGCTTATTACCATCCTTTATCTTAATGCAGTTCTTTGCGCACATGCTTTGATGCATAAAGGCTTGACAATGAATCACTGGGAGAAATATTGGAAGCAAAATCTGTTTCAAAGATCAGCTGAAGCGGTTTCAATCTGACTATAGTTCCCCGAATTGAATTCAGTTCTGAGTCCGATCAGCGATGATGGAATGTTACTAGTTTGGTTTTCGAGAATGTAACCAGCCAGTTTTTCTACCATTAAACCTTTAGAGCTAGATCAGAGGAAATATCACCCGTCAAGGTCTGGTCAGATATAGTTTTGGAGGTGCACGCATATAGCGTTGTATCACCAGCCTAAGTATCCACTAATGTTCGGAGTATACTCTTAGGCAGGCTTATTTATGTAAAGCAGAAAAAGGGTTGGGTCGAGAAGTAAAACTTGGCGGATGCCTGAAAATTTCATGTATAAATATTTTTGGAGTAAAATGAATCAAAACAATTTCATTAAAGATATATATTTTTACGCGCGCCTTTAAAAGGACTGTTTATTTGTTTTCTTAAAATTCCAAGTTATATATGAACATACATAGATTTGAACCTGGTGGGTTAAGATATCTATCTATCTATATCTATCTATCTATCTATATCTATCTATCTATCTATCTATCTATATATATATATATATATATATATATATATATATATATATATATATATATATATTTGAATCTTATGTCAGTCATCGCGATGATTAGCGTGTATAATATTTGCTAGTAAAGTGAGATAGATCATCACCGTAATCATTCTACTACCGTCCCCTGCCAAATCCCGTGCCAAATTTATATTTTTAAAAATAAAACAATATAATGAAATTCAGATTATATATATTTATAACAGAATAAAAACTGTTGTTTAGGACGAAAACGATTTCCAATGTCGACCTTTCTTTGCCAGGGAGCTAAATTCCCGCAAAATATCTGCTTGCGTTCTCCTTCAGATGATGTTTTATTACAAACCTGCATTTGTCACCGAAAACAATAAAAGACAGCGTGCAATCCTCAACATAAGAGTAAACAAAAGATATATACATCACGTTGTAAATTTTGAGGATGCAAGATTGTGTTTCCTTTTTACAAAGATGAAAGACTATATAACATATTGAGTCTGTTTTCAGCTATCAAGGTTAATCATGAAAAATGCATTTGTTTTACTTTATCTTCCCGGGAAAATAAGGTAATTATAGGAAAACACGTCTTTTCTGTACTCATTCACCCACACTTAATTATGCCAAGCATTGTTTTGTTCAAGTTAGAGGGCCTGAATCGAGATCAGTTATGGCTGATACTTCTTCTATCTGATCAAGATAAGTAACAATAGAGAAAACGACACTTAATGCATTTGCATAGACACCTTTTTTTAACCAATTTGTTTGACCAGTGGCAGGAGAGTAGTTTCACTGGCGATAAAATCGAACTCTGAATGATTTATGGTGTCTCTGAGAATGGCTATGTCATGTCATCCAAATAGTGCTACTGGTACCATATAACCAAGCACTACCTGCCGCATGGTATTGTCATCGGCAACTAAACCCTTTCCCCTACTAGCCTATTCTAGTGAGGAGTGTGTCTAGACACCCAACTGGATTAAAAACAAAGCCTATCAAAAGGTGAATGACTTTTCTTGTACAGTTAATGGCAATGGGGTAGAATGAGCTCTATACCTAGCCAGTTAGGTGATGGCACGGCATCGCTTGTTTCTAGACTGAAGTTATCAGTCAGGGTGGAAATTTTCCCCGATGGTATCCATGACCACGTATCCGTGATCAAGGCAAGTCTTCAAATTGAAAAACATCAGCTGTGATTAGACCTGAAGAAAGATGGGCTCCGTCAGATTTACTTGCCAATGATACGATACGAATGAATGGACACTTCTCTGACTTTTACCCATATACGTGCTGGGAATTTGTCAGGTTCTCAGTTTCACAGCGGCCCCTACTCTCACACTAGGTCATGGGTGATTATGATAGTGATAATATTAAAATGGAACTGATAAAAATGGGATTCAACACTCTGCTGTACGATTCTGTTTAATAGACTGTTACCAGTTATACCATGTTGCAGATTAAGCAATAAGAAATCGTAAATGTTCAATGTCCTTACAAATCTTAGTCCTGCTATTCATAAAACATTTTACTGATAAATAAGTAATTAACTGAAATCACTAAGTAACATTTGCTGTGCGATTTGCTTGTAGTTAGACTTTCTTGTAAAATATATTAATAACATTCTTCAAGTCTCATTAATTAGCTTTCTCTATTTAGGATATCAATAAAGAAATTATTTCTATATATTGTACAGGGAGGGCCATAAGTAAGCTTACAATTGCTTTCCTGTTTCACAACCAGAACTAACTTCACCAAACAGTTCTTTCAGCAAGACGGAGCCCCTACCCATTATGCTTTGGCAGTAAGGGACAAGAAGGAGGGGCAGCCTCGAATGGCCACCACGTCCACTTGACCTAACACCAATAGATTTCCTTTTGGGGAGCGTAGTGAAGAACAATGTTTATAAGAGTAATCTCCACACAGTTGACGAATTAAAAGAGTACATCACAGAAGCATTTATTGAAATTGATGCAAATCACGATTTGCGTCATGCTGTGTCTCATAGAGTTCTGGCGAGGTTTGAGGAATGTTGCAAGATTGAAGAAGGACATTTTGAGTATTTAAGAGATTAAACTGTGCTAAAAAATGTATCTTTCATTCTCATGATGCCTCTTGTGTTTTCAAATTGATTTCGTTCAAAAACAATTGTGTTTTTCCAATTTTTGGCGCTGTTAGAACCACCGCAAGGTAATTTTACGTAGTCTTGTGAAGTTTTGTTGAAATCGGTTGAAAAATGCAGGAAATCCGGTCCAATATATAAACGTACAGACACACACACACACAATCTGCGTTTTATAATAAGTAAGATCATCAACATGATCATCCTCGTCATCATTATCATCAGTTTCTTGACTGCCTCAGTCATCGTGGGGAAACCTGAGGGCATAATAAACATACTTTGATTCTTCTTCCTCGTCATCCTTTCAGATATCATGGCGGTGGCCATCTCCTACCCAAGCTCTTGAGCCGAAGATCACGGAATATGGTGTGAGTCAACCTTGATCCGTACACTAAGACTTCAACTTTTGAATTCTAGACTCAACCCTATTTCTTGTTATTTACCCATAGCGGGAGGTGGAGAGAAGAGATTGATTCATACATTTCTTGGGTAAGTGAATGCAAAGAACACGACTCGAACCCGACCCTCCAATTATGCAATTCCACGTCGCTATCCATTAAACCACCGTACCACTAATATACATAATAATAGTCATGCTACAAATATAATAATAACAGTCGGAGAATTGTTCAGATCAGCTTTCAGATCCCTGTTGTAGATGACTGTTCAGTTATATTCTGTGTTTATTCAACACCCACTATCTGTGGTTTATACAAAAACTATGCTGAAGTTTACAGAAAAGAGTGAATCATCTGGCGTGTGGTATCAGTTCCAAGAACGTTCAAAACCTCAGTCACAATGACATTTGACTTCGTGCTAGCAATACTATTGATGACATTTAAACTGTTCCATCTACCCAATTTCATTCACAAGCCCTAGGTTAACCTGTTTTAGGGAACTTTCCAACAGTAAATGGGATTGCCCCCGCAAGGCGAGAATATCGAAGTCACCTTCCTCTGTCCAGTTCTCATGGTCGGAAAGCTAAGTTTCTAACCACTCGACCACGCACCCATATAATAGTATACATACACACACACACACACACACACACACACACACACACACACACACACATATATATATATATATATATATATGAAAAATATAATTTTAAGGCATGCTATATTGATGAGTAAAAGGGCTCAATATCAGTAAGTAAAGTTATATTAAATAAATATAAAACTGAACGATGAACTCGGAACTCCACCCAGCGAAACTATAGTCGCGCGCCAAAAACTTATGTACTAATTAATGCACACCCACACACACACCCACAAACATATATATATATGTGTGTGTGTGTGTGTGTGTGTGTGTGTAAGTGAACATTGAAGTCAACACTTAGAGGCGACAGTCTGTTTCATGCTTGACGCAATCGTCTGGCCACCAGCGCTGTTATTTTTCTCGGCTATTATTTATATATACGGGTCAGTGGTGCATTGTGGGCAGTCTATTTTGGCGGTTATTTTGCCGGAAGTCGTTTATTTATTTATTTGGGTTAAATTATTTTTCTTGCCATTATTTATTTATTTATTTATTTATTTTACTCACTCTTACACAAACACTTCCCGGAATCAAGCACCCTACACAAAATATTCAACAAAAACACAGTAAAAATCAGCTACAGTTGCACCGAGAACATGGCACAAATAATAAAAAAGCGCAACAGGAAAATTACCAACGAACCACATGAACAAATTAAAGCCACGTGTAACTGCAGAATAAAGAACGAATGTCTCTTAAACGGTAGCTGTTTACAAAACAAAGTAATATACCAAGCCACAATAAAATCGCCAGATAATGAAGAAAAAGTATATATAGGAGTAACTCAAGGACCCTGGAAACGAAGAAATTATGCACACAAAACATCTTTCACAAATAATAAATATGCTTTCTAAGTATATCTGGGAAATTAAAAGCAAAACGCACATCACACCAAAAATATCTTGGAAAATAAGGAAAAGATCATCAGCCTACAACAACCAATCCAAAATTTGCAAACTTTGCTTGGAGGAAAAATAGCTATCATTACCTTCCCAGACCAAAATAAATTATTAGATAAAAGATTTGAGTTCATCTCAATATGCAGGCATGAAAACAAGTTTTTACTATGTTACCTAAAAATCGAAAACTGAAAAAATAAAATAAAAAATAAATAAACAAAGTGACAATAAAATAAGTAAAATAAATTAACCCAAACAAATTACCAAATCACACCCGTTAGAATAGACGAAATACAATAGATAAATAAAAAAAAAAAAAACAAAATCAATGAACCCAAATACATACAGTAAATAATAAACACATTAACAAACTATGATGACCAAAATATTAGTTAGAGTATAAAAATCAAACCAAAAATCGGCCGAAAAAAATAGCTATAACTGTTATATAACGATAAAAAAATACTACGTTACTTAAAAATCGAAAACCGGAAAGAGTAAATAAAAATATACAGTATAATAAATAAATAATAAAAAACAAGTAAAATAAATTAATCTAAATCCATTCAAATAAATAAATAAAATAACAAGTCGATCCCGATAAATTAACCGCTAGAAATAAAATAAAGATAATCAATCGAAATAAATACATGAAGTAATAAACAAATTAAAAACTGCTCCCGCCAAAATAATAGTTAGAATAAACTACAACAATCTACCCCAAAATTGAATAAATAGCTTTATCTTCCCAAACCAAAACAAACCTATTAAATAAGCGATATAAACAAATTTTTACTACGTTAATAAAAATACCGATTAAAATAAAATGATAAATATATAAGATAAGAAAAAAAAAAAAAAATAAATATAAATAATGACAAGCAAAATAATTCAACCCAAATAAATAAATAAACAAATAAACGACTTCCGGCAAAATAACGGCCAAAATAGACTACCCACAATGCACCACTGACCAGTATATATAAATAGCCGAGAAAAATAACAGCACTAGTAGCCTGACGATTGCGTCTAGCAGGAAACAGCCTGTCGCCTCTAAGTGTTGACTTCTATGTTCATTTTTATATTTACACACGCTCTATCTCTGATATTGAGCACTTTATCCCATAAATATGGCACAATTGAAATATCTTGTAACCTGAATGCGAAAGGTCAAGTGAGAATGACAGTTGTAGTAGGGCATCCTAATCAAGCTGCATCAATTTCTGCCTATTTTTAAAGAGACGTGAAGTCTGGCGTTGTTTTGATGGAAGATGGTTGATTACAGGTGCTTTTCGTATACTTCTGCCTCTAATCGATTCAAATTGGAAATATAATTTTA